TCCATCTGCAGGATGGCCTCCTCACACAGCCCACCCCGCCATGGCCCTCACCTCCATCTGCAGGATGGCCTCCTCACGCAGCCGGATGGCCTCCAGGTCCTCCTCCGTGATATCCGGAAGCAGCGCCTGCTCCTGGCTCTGCCAAACGCTGTCGCCCCCATTAAAGATCTTCTCATCATTGGCCAACTCCACAAAAGGGACCTGGGGACTCTGCAGACAACAGAGGCAGACCCTGTGACCACCAAGCCCCAGGCCACAGTCTTCTTCCTGCAGATCTCAAGATGAGAGGAGGCTCCAGAGTCTCTGGGTGTCAGGGCTGCCCTACGCTCTTGGCCCACACCTGTACCTGTGGGGGTGTGAGAGGAGGCTGAAGCTTGGGGCTGCTGTGAACGGCGGGCAAAGATCCAGGATGGGTGGACACTGGCCCTCTGCCCTTCAGCACATGTCCCCCCTCTGGCCATCCCAGGCTTAGCTGCGGAGCACTTGGCAGGCTCTCTGCTCCACGGCCCTCAGCCCAAGCCTGGGCCACCATGTCCTGGGCCCGGACGCAGAGCTGGGAGGACACATGGAGGAGCAAAACACAGCCCTGACCTCAGGGAATGCACAGCCCACCCCGTGTCCCCAGCTTTGGGGATCACGAGCCCCTCTGTAAACCCACAGAAAAATGCCCCTTTGCACGTAAACACAAATTCTACCTTCTCATTTTGGGGGCTGTGGAAATCAAGGCTTGGAGAGGAAGGGGCTGCAGGCAGGGCACAAGCACCACCCGAGGGAACCCAATGGGACTGGACCACTGGGGAGGGGAGCCTGAGAGATTTTCTTCAATTTGTCTTCATTCCGTATTGATTTCTTTAATTCACCAAATTTTGAAATTCAGTAAGATAGTGCCTTTCCCTTCAATTATCCCCATTTGCTCTCTGATAGGATAATCTGGGGTTGCCAGACCTCCACCTGAGACCCTGGGGCACTGGCCACACCAGGAAAGGATTCCCAGGGTTGGAGAGTATTTCCAGCTCAAACACCAGAGCCTGGGATTCGACGACAGCCCCCCTTGCCCCTGCCTATCCCTGCGGACCCTAGACTCAGTCTCCCCAGCCCTCTGTGAAAGGCATGATCAAGGTCTTCTCTCCAGTTCTGGGAAATGCCCTCCTTCAAAGCACAGGGGCCTGGCCAGCCTGGTATGTCTGCCTTCGCAGCAGGGCCCTCAGGGCAGTGTGGCAAGCTTCGCCTGGGTCCCAGCCTCTCAGGTGTGGACCCTGCCTGCTGTGCACTGTCCTGGGGGGTCTGGGGTATGGACGGCATGGAACTGACTGGGAGTGGGCACCTGGGCTGGGCCTGGGTGCAGCAGGCAGCCTCTCTGCCTCCCCTTCCCACCAGACCCCACTGACCTCTGCCCAGCCCAGGGATAGCGCTGTCCTGCCAAGGGCAGCCATCCACACAGGCCAAGAGGCAGGGTCTCAGCGGGCCACTCCAGATGTCAGTGCTGGGCACACAGAGACAGTGGGGCATGGCTGCCACCCCCAATTCATCTAACTCAAGTCCAGAACTCCTGTGGTGCCCTCCCGTGTGTGGGCGCAGCTAGGGACGGAGGCTGTGAGGCAGCACTGGTATCTGCTCACAGACCGGCCTCTGCTGGCCCCGGAACTCCCAAAAGTCCCCAGGAACCTTAACCTCGGCCCTGCAAGGAGGCTGCAGAGGCCACATCCTGCTCACTTTCCGCTCCTTCCTTCATTACAGGACCCTGACACTTGCCTGAGATAAAGGCCTCCTCACTACTCCGTGCAGCCCAGGTGGTCACATGCATTGTTCTGGCTGAGCCCATGTCAGCAGAAGTGCCACAGAACTTCAGGGAGGCCACCGGGAGCCCCTTCCCCTCTGAGACAGTCACTGAGCCTGCCTGGCCCCCTGCAGACACTGCCTCCCAAGGGCAGCCCACCCAGGCCATGCTGTCTCCAGAACCTGTGAGATGCCACTGCCTCCTGAGGCCTGAGGACTCTCTGCTGGCAGGTAGCAGGGAGGCACAGGGGATAGGACTGCCCCTTGGCAGCAGGAAGGAAGACTCCAGAACACAATCCAAAGGACAGTCTTTCCTGGCATGCTTTGTGGGGCCCATGGTGCCCACCCTGTGCCAGGTCCTGGGGCAAGAGTGGGTGGATAGGTGAGAACCCCGAGTGAGCACAGACAGACCCCACTGGGCACAGAACAAGCGGATCCCGCAAATAAGAGCTTCAGTATGTTTCTGGCAGAAGTCACCCCGGGAGGGTGCGTGAGGCTATGAAAGCTGTGTAATTGTTTGACTGCATCCAGGGACAGGGTAGGGTGGCAGGGCAACCTCCTCCCTGGGTCCCACGGTTCTGCCTGAGACTGCTCGCTGGTGATGGCGGGACCAACAGTAACAACAGCAGCCACCACGAGCCTTCAGAGGGACCAGGCAGGTGCCACATCTTGTCTCCAGTTTTCCTCAGGACCCTGTGAAGTGGGCATGGCCTCCTCATTTAAAAGGGACAGCTTGTCAGGTCCCACAGGTGGGACAGTTGACACTGCGCCGACCCAGTTCTCCCTCCCAAGCCCACACTCTTCCTACATACCACGCTAATGCGGCGGGGGGAAGTCAGCAGAAGACTCTAAATAAATAAATACGTGGATAGATGAATATAAAATAAAAGATCTAAAAAATCTGTTGACAAGCGCTACTTGTCCAAGGCAGTAATTATCACCTCCCCTTCCCGGCGTGGGCGGGAGGAAGTGAGCAGCGCCCGGGGGTGGCAGCGGGAGGGAGGCACTGGCCCCGCGCCAGGCCCGCAACCCCCGCTGGCTCCCTTCTGTGGCTCCAGCCCCTCTTGAGCTTCCAGGGCACTCTTAGAAGAAACCTTGGCCCTGGCCCCGGCCCCAGCGTTGGCGCCAGCTGCAAGACCCAGGCAAGGCAGGTGCATTCTCTGGGCCTCAGAGTCCTCATCTGTAGAATGGGAACGCCGCCGCCCACAGCCCTGCACTCTGTGCTCAGCGCACACTGCCGCGCCTCTGGCCAATCCTGTCTGCAGGGCACCGCGGGAGTACACGCCTCACTCCCACCAGGAGCAACCCGCCTGAGAACGTGGGCTCTCCAGAGTTGGTGAGGGCCACGGGGCAAGCTCTGCCCCCTCGTTGCTGCGCAATCCTGGGCAGGTCCCTCAACTTCTCTGAGCCTCAGTCTTCACTTCTGAGAAATGGAGCTGACACCACTCACATCCTTGAGTCAACTCCAGGAGAGAACGCGGTGAGTGAGGACCCTGGGTACAGGGAAGCCACAGGGAAACACACATGACAACAATGTGCCACTTTAAAGCCTCCAATGGAAAGCAGGAGGCCCTGTGCTTCCCAAGTGCTGTGAGGCAGGAGCACAGGGACGCTCCTCCCACGGGACCTGGCATGAGCCTCTGGAGAGCAGCAGGGGGCCGAGCGCAGACTCCACAACCCAACAGTGATGTGCCCTGAGATTGAGCCCAGCTGACGCAGGTCCCTGCCCCACCCGCATCCTGGGGGCCTGAGGCTTGCCTGGGCTGGGGCTTCTAAAAGCCCCAAGTAAACACAACAAACAACGAGGTAGGAGCCCAGAGTAGCCCCACCTGTGCACCCGAGGTCAGAGGTGCAGGAGCTCTCGCTCAGCCGGATGGTGACAGCAAATCCCTGCCAACAGGAGAGGGAGCTGCAGGAAATCCGGCCCACTCCTATGATGACATACTATGGGCCAGTAAACACGAGCGAGTCAGACACGCTGGGGAAGAAAGTGTCACAAGATGTTCTACTGAGACTTTCCCTGGCATTTGGGGTTCAGTGGAAGCTCCCACAAACAGGGCAGAGGGTGCCAGGCCCCCCACACAGACCCGCCATGGATCTGGTGCCTTCAGCTCGCTGTCACCTCCTGCACATAAAGAGGGGAGGAGCTTGGGAGGCGGGACAGGGCACAGGGACACTGGCCTAGGCTCGGTCGGTCTGGAGGTCCAGGGGAGGCGGTGGGGCTGGTGCAGGCCCGAGGAGATCCTGCAGGGGCCTGTCCCCCTCACCTCCGCAGGCCAGGCCAGGAAGAGCAGGGACCCAGGAGCCCACCCTCCCCAGCAGCACATGACAAAAGACAGGGGAGGAAGAAATGGCTTAGCCGTCCAATCCCCCCCGCAGCCCTCCTCCTGAAAGGCTCACAAAGTGCCCCTTTATTCTCCTCACAAAGGCTCAATTTGGGTCTTTAGCGCGGAAGCTGGGATTAGGGATTTGCTGGCAAGGTGCTGGGGCCGGCGCGGAGGGGACAGCCCTGTGATGGTTTTCCAGCGCAGGAGGCAGCCAGACAAAGGAGGCTTTCTCCTCCTCCAAGGCCCAGGGCTTGCGTCCTCATTTTGACACGTAGGGTAGAAACACAGGCCCCAGAGTGACCGCTGGAGAAGGAGCTGCACACGTTTCCCGTGAGAAGAGATGAGGGGTGTTGAGAGAGGCTGCCTTCCACCCAGGGCGGGCCAGGAGTGGGGTGGCAGTGCAGACCACAGCCAGCGTCCCCGGGCTCTCAGTAACTCTGGGAAACAATCACTTTCTCAGGCACTTGGCCTTGGTGGGAGGGTGGGGGTCAGGGCAAGAGGCACTCGGACACTTTGGGAAGGGCAGTTTCTTTTTAGCAGCCCCAGGGGAGGCCCCTGGTTTCTCCAGATAGCAAGTGACTATGCAGCTGACGGGGGCTGATTCTCATCAAAGCCGGAACGTCAGAGCTGCATGGCTGTGGCAATGCTGCCCCTGGCACCACGTTAAATAAAAGGACTGGGTTCGAGAGATAAGGGCGACTCTCTGCCCCATGCCCTGGACAGAGAAGCAGGACTAGGGAATTTCCCACGGGCCTGTGAAAGGGAAACACGCTTTTAATTCTGTGGCCTGAGGACACACAAAGTTCTGCTGAGATCTATGCTGAGTTCACCAATTTTGGCACAAAGACAGAGCGTGACCTGCCACTGTGGGCTGTTCCTCTGAAGCTGAACGATCACAGGTCTATCCAGGGACAGGGGCCAGCCCAAAGGCACCCAGGTGCTGCTAAGAATGACCCTAGCACCAGCTGGAGGCCACAGTGGACCACGGCCAAGATCACCAGCTCCAGAGAGACTGCGCGGCTCACACTCACGCCCAGCCCAGGAAGACAAGGGGTGGCAGGCGCCCCTCGCTTCTGCCAGGACCACTTAGCCTGCAAACAGCAGCCC